AACGACTTATTCATACACGGAGAACAAGTTATGTGTAACCATTAGGTCGAATACAAGGTTTTGGAATATCGAGCAAAAAGTCACAGTAGAAGCGTCATGAGGAGAGAAGGTTGCCACATCCCCCCCCACCCCGCCAAAAATGGCAGTCCTCACGCACACATTGTATGGTAACGTATGGCTGATTAGAGCACCTGCATTATAAACCAACAGTATACACGGTAGCGCAGTGGTCGTTGTTCTGCATGACGGTCTCGTGAGCACGATTGGGCCGAAAATGGCCGGAGGCTGTTGAGCAATTACAAGGCTTTCTACGGAGACAAAACAGAATGGAAGAAGTGATGCAGTAATGCGCAAGACAACATGTTGACAGATTACTACGTTTGAAAAGTTCCTGCATAACTAGTCGACACCATGTGGCGCACTAGGTCTACGCTGCACGTGAAGCACACGCAGCGCAATACCAGCGGATGTCCAATAAGCAGCCATCTTAGAGTCCATTGTAAGCTTTGTTATAGAACCAGCAGCAAGCATAGTTGCAAATTACTAGCTCACTGATCATTATGTGTTTCCAAATTAGCCAGTACTAGCCTATCAGGCAATGTACCCACCGACGTAGCTCCTCATTTTGTTGATGCTGTGACTGAAGATATCGATGACGTTTGTCTGATGCCTTTCTTACCATGTTCATTTTGTATACTTCAACAACTGTGATGCCCATGATGATTTTCTTCTTTCCTGCAAGACTTTCGTGGCTGATAGGACGATTTCTCACCCGATATAGCATCTTTTTTTCGAACATTTCCCAATCACTGGCGAGGCCTTGCGGTATAATATTTTATTCGCATCGCACGATTCTCGAGTCCACAGATTCATTTGCTTTTTCCTAAGCATGTTAGCAGCAAAAAACGCCTGTGGTGGTAATAGGGCACATCCCCACCAGTATCAGTGGCGGTTGTGGTGACTTTTGTGGATAGAAAAGTCGACGAAAAAATTCTTTACCATGAAATTTGGCCAACTCACTTCTCTCCTATAGCTAATCGGTTATTGATCTCTCATACTAGGTTGACCACCACATGTGAGCGTAGTCGTTTGTGTGGTTCGAAATGCAATGCTTATCAGTTATTTTATCAAGATAAGCTTCTCGCTGTGTGCTATGTTTCTACGGCTAAAGTATCCGAAGTTCTCCTTTAGCCACAATAGCGGTGTAAGCAAAGTAAAAGACAGAAAAAAGCCTTGCTATTCTGTGTTTTTTTAATTAATTTATATGACCTCCCGTTAATTTCTCCCAGAGTAGCAAATGCGCTGCTCATGAGTCCTCTTTCGTACTTGCACCTTTGTTTACGAAACTGCCTAAATTTGCACCATTATTTTTGAGTGTGTAGCATACACAAGCAATAATTACAACTTTTCCTATTCCCACCGGATTGCTAAAGTTACTCACTCAGCCGCTGCGTTTACTGCTTTAGCTTACAAAGGCCCACCTGCTGCGCACATCGCTTCGATCTCTTCGCGAACAAAGCAAGTCGACTATGTCTTCAGCACTCGTCTGTGATGATGGCTAGCACAAAAATCTTACAGTGTGTTTCAACACTGCTGTTTGTTCAGCGTTACAATTCGGTATTATACTTTTGCAAGAAGAGCCACCACATCTTGTCGGAGCTCGCGGCATTCTAATAGTAATATATATACTGTTTGATCTTCCAGAGCCCCCACACGATCATGAGGTACGTCGTAGTGGAGCCATCTGAAAATCTGGTGTTTTTTCACGTGTACTGACATCGAACAAAACACAGGCCTCAGTCATTTCACTTTCACTGAAATAAAACGATTCGTGACAGTGTGGACATTTAAAAAGTCGGAACAGGTTTAAACTTTTCAGGTGAATCTGGAAAACAGCCCCTTATGCAAAACGTATTGACATGATTTCAACTTTTGAGTTCATTTCCACTAATAAGATAACGTTTCGCAAGAGAGGTATGAATCTAAGATTATGAGACAAGCGATTTTCAGAACCTTAAAAAGTTCGCAGATTGCACATACAGTGGAAATCGATGATATTTGAAGCACGAATGAGAAATGTTGATATGTCACTTTAAAATAAGCACAACGTTACGAGGCGGAGGTAATTGATGGCGTACTTGACTTCCGTGTCATGATTATCATGTTGTGTCGTGATTATCATGTTGTCGTGATTATCATGATGTTTAGATGTGTCGTTTACCTTCGTCTTCAGTCACCTGATGCCAAATTTAGTATATGTAGAGCTAGCGAAACGGCCGCGAGCACAATATGAGCGTAGTTTGTGGTCATGTTCTTACATGACACTCGTGTCAGCATTATTATGTTTGAACCATTATTATGTTCGTCATCGATTGAAATCACGTAACACCAAATTTAGTATATGTGGAGCTGGCAAAACGGCCATGAGTGCATCATGGAGGGCCCAATATACTCCAATGTAGCATTGACGTGTGCGCACGCTGGGCACAGGGAGGCTACGTTAGCAAAACGGGAGCACTCTATAGTCTGACGCCCGGTGCGACCGGCGCATCCAGCGTCCGTCGGCGCTGCCCGACGGCAACCGGCTTAAAATGCGGCATGCTGCGTTTCGCGCCGGTGCGTTACCCAGACAACACTGCGACTCCCTCTTTTCGTGATGGAGGGGCACCGGACGCACTCAAATGCGCATGCATCAAAGCAAAGCAGAGCGACGCGCCCCTGCGAGTATATCGCAGGACCCGTGGCTGGCGTGGCTACGCCGTCGTGACGCAACGAAATGAACGCCGGCGAGCACGAGCACCGCGTCACGTCGAAATGTATTGGCGCCTTGACTGTGGCATGTAGTCATGCTGTTACATGACTCGCATCTCAGGATTATCAAGTTTGCACCAGTTACATATCTTCGTCATCCATTCACGTACTATATTGTGACGTACTCTAATGTGACGTACCCTATATGTGACGCTAGCGAAATGGCTGCGTGCGCATCATGAGCGTGGTATGTAGTCATGTTGCCAAATGACACGCATGTCATGAGTTTCATGTTACCGTCTGTCACTTGTGTTCGCCATGCAATCATGCCATACCATACCAGTTTTGGAACATGCCATGTGAACGAAGCCACCGCAAGAGCTGCAGGACCATGAAATGTCAATCATGACATTCACGACATGCATATCATGATTTTCATGTTATGTCTTGTTAAATATGTTCGCCATACAGTCATGTTACGCCATACCAAGTTTAGTATCGATACCATTATCGAAACGGCCAGGAGAGCTAAATGTTGTAAGCGGCTAGATAGATAGATAGATAGATAGATAGATAGATAGATAGATAGATAGATAGATAGATAGATAGATAGATAGATAGATAGATAGATAGATAGATAGATAGATAGATAGATAGATAGATAGATAGATAGATAGAGAGATAGATAGAGAGATAGATAGATAGATAGATAGATAGATAGATAGATAGATAGATAGATAGATACGCTCAAAGTCGCCCAAGTTCGCTAAGACATGCTTCGCATTTTATATATTCAATTAGTTACGTGTATCGCAATGTTACTATACACGTATGTTGTCCAAAAGAGTCTAAATAAATGGGAGGATGCATGCGACAGTTATAGATGGTTTAAAAATTGGAAACGTCGTGCTCTACCCCCCTCCAACAAAAAAAAAATAACTTCCGGTCACCCCATTTAACAGCTCGTAACGTCAAAACTGAAAGGACGTTTTATGTTTTTCAAGGGTAAGGAAAGCCTCTTATTTGTTTGTCAGACAAAAAGAACGTGCCTAATGTTTAAGGCAATCTCTTGTAGTTTTTTTGTAGATCAAAAGAACAATAATTAGAATATACTTTGCCAAATGATGAATGGAAAGCTTAGGAAATCAGCGGACAATTTTCTAAGGCTTTTCTTGCCCACCTGTGCTATTCAGGCACATCGAAGGATGGAACCAGAAGTCATCAAGGGAGTGTGTAAGCTGAAAACCACCCATATCCATGGGGCTACGACAAACAGTCTTAAAATATGTTAAATATGTACGAAAATGTGGGTGTGGGCAAAGCAGTATATATATAAATAAATAGAAAAGTTCACATAGGAAAGTATTAACTCACCTCACACTCTCACTGTAAAAAAAAATTTAACACTTTGTCTTGCACATTACGTATTTGCTTACATTCTGTTAACAACATTTTGTTATCTCTCTTCTGAAATACATTATTCCCCTTCACCATACCAATGCGGAGTAATATGCCAGGGGTATTTAGATACCAGAAATAACCCTGCTTTTCTAATACAGGGTCTCTCTCTATACGAAGAATGTCAAAAGCAGACGAAAAGTAAGGATAGGAAGTACAAGAAGGAAACGACACACCCGCTATGGTTAGCGAACCGTCTTCTTTTGCCTTCCTCGCGTGAAGCACTCTATTAGAATACCGAGGTCTCCAATACAGAACCCGCGGGCAGCATGCGGCCCACCGAGGCCTTGCTTGCGGTCCGAATGTGGCAGCATTTTTCTCATATTTGTTTTATGACATTGCGCCTGGTCTTGACATCAATAAATGATTCTCTTATTATATTCTCACATATCGTTAATAATAACGTTTTGGGCTGGAAACTACGCACTCTTTTATTTTTAGTTTCAGATGGCAATCATTACATGACATTTTGTTGAATGTGTGCCCTCTGTTTACCTCTAATTCACTGGCCCGGCGCTTTGGGGAAGTAAAATTCATGACTGCGGTCGTTTATCTGAAGTTAGCTTGAGACCCCCGACATGTATAATGGACACATTTGTGACACAGCAGTAGCGGACTATGTGACTTTTTCTCTGGCGGGAATACTTTAGGACATTTCACATTTGCCCGCAAATAGAAAAGAAACACTTCAGTGAAAAAAAAAATTCACGTGACCTTCCTAAACGCAACGTCCGCCTTTTTGATAGTATCATTGATGACGAGTTCATCATTGTTACTTGAAAATGAATGACTAGTTAGCATTCAGTATTTATTTCGCTCGTAAAATACATTTATATCAGTGTGCAACGAAAAAGGTACCTAAAAATTGAGATAAGTGTTCCTAGTATGAATTTCTGCGTCTACTTCTAATAAATCCTAGTCTCGCCGGACAATCGTCAGTATAGATGAGATGTGAGTCCAGGTTCAGCATGTTGAATTCTCTCATGCACCTTTTACTAGGTCCCCTGTGAATGGCCGAGTCGCGTACGCGGACTTCGTACCAGCGTACCGGGGCTGCAGAGAGAAAAGAAAAAATCCGATATTCAATTTTCCTCGAAAAAAATTTTCAAGACTTCTGTAGACTTATATTTAACACGCAAGCTAGCAGCAGACTGAAATAATATTAGATAGACAAGAGAATTCGAAAATCTGGAGCCCTTTTGTATTTGCAGAAGTGGGGCCAAAATTTATTTATTTATTTATTTATTTATTTAATATTTACTTATTTATTTGTTTATTTGTTTGTTTATTCATTTTTCTCCTCGTTTCGCATACTACAAAGCTCACCACTAACATAGGCTTCAGTTTTAACAAAGCCAACATTACTCCCCAGATTTCTGGTTTCTGGCCAAATCGGTCTGCCGTCTTGTTCATTAGAGCGTTTGGCAGCCAGTAGAACGGCCTGATCATAGGAGCCTAGGATGACCATTGAAACGCGAAGAATAAGCTTAACGTTACCGAACAGAAACTTTGGTGAAGCGTTCAACTTTGAAATCAATTTTACAAGTTGTCGATCACTTTGCTTTTAGTCCACCAATACGAAATAGTTCAATCATGTGGCTGCAGCAAGTGCAGTATTTAGCACAGGAATGAATTAATTTTTGCATAGCCTGTCAAAACTGTTCGTATGTGGCCTATTGAAAAAGAGATTTGCTGTGGGACCGGGAAACACCAGTTTGAAAATATGCGCCGGAGAGAAGGAAGAGGAGGAATAAACTTTATTATAAGAAACCAGCAGGTTTAGGTGGCCGGGCCTGAGCCTCCCATGAGGGGACGTTAAGGGCTTGCCTCAACGCTGCCTCACGGGTGTGCTGGGTCACCCAGGTTTGGTCGTAAAAATCGGGGCTCCGCAGAGCCTCATGGAGCATCGACGAAAGGGTCGTGGCGTTAGTGTGTCTGTACTGTGCCGGGCAATCCCACAGTATGTGCGGAAGCGTAGCCGGGTGAGTGCCGCCGCACCGGCAGTGGGAGGTTGTGGAGACGTCTGGGCTAACTAGAGACGAGATGAACACCACGGACAACTTCACTACCTACCATGATCTGGTTGTGAACTTTTACCTCAGACGCCGAATCTTTCCCCCACGTCACCTCAAGCTCAACCGAGCAGAGGTCACCACTTTGCGTATACTTCAAACGAACACGTATCCTTCACCTGCCCGCTTTCACCTCGTATTCCCGGAGAGAAGATTTCAATTTAACCTAAGCTCTTTCGTGCGCGTACCTGTGGGTGAGTATGTTTTGGTGATCATGTCAGGTGTTTGCTCAGCGGCGGTCAAATGTTTGGAACACCACCTGCTTCCTGGGTCAGTCAATACAAACCACGCTTTAAAACACAAGATCATTCAAAACATTATGGGTCACTGTGCTGTAAAAATAGGTGTTATTATGTAGTAAAAAATCTTGTGGCTATTTTCAGTGTTGTTATTTTTGAAAGCAAACTTTCTAATACGTTCAGGGGACAAAAAAAGGTTGTGTTACTCTAAATAGCTATGTCACCCTAACTATAAGGGGTAACTGAACATCGGGTATGTGAGAAGCACGTTTCATGCTAAGCTCATATAATGAAGAATGCGTAGCGGTAAACATATTAAGCGGTATTTTTGTTTACTTTGTAGCGTCACTTATAGTAACCCCCACTCCTAAATTTTCAAGAAAATTGCTCTTTTCGGCTGCCTGTCATTTCACACGCAATGAGTGAATGGTATCAGGTTATCTGATATTTAATGCATTATTGCCTGGTGTTAATGTAACAAAAATGACACCTACCAATGTTGAATAAGAACCGCTATGGTCTATGAAATGTTAACACTAGCATTCGTTTAACAGATACGAGCCTAAAGCTGTGCCATATACTAGAAAACCTTTAGTTCAGTTTGCTTATCTAACGTGAAAATATTTCTCATTGATGTTATCGAATTAAAGCTATATGTGAGGCACGCAGGTAGACTTAAATGTTTTGTCGTCATCACGAAAGTAGCTGAATGAAAGTGGGTACTCACGTATTGGAAGAAGAGAGCTAATTAGGGTGACCATTATGATAGCACATTTAGCCCTCCTTGTTACATATATCAACTGCTCCAACTGGTGAAAAGGAGCCTCTGAAATAATACGCATAGTGTGTGCACGTCAACATTTTTACCAGCATTGATATGCACGTCACTAAGAAGTTGTCCTAACTAATGCCATCGATTCTAGATTTCACTGTTTTAAAAGCCACGCAGATTACAATAACTGAACAAAATTTAACATTCATATTTTAAAATGTTCACTATACTCACTCAGCTTGAAAACAGCTTAGCGCTAGGATTTGCGAGCACGTATCATAGGCACCTCTTTGGCGTGCGGCAAAATTGACTTTCGTTCAGAGTCAGTAAAGCAGTACGGAGTCTGTGCTCGTTGACTTGTGTGCTGTACTTATGTATCCTGTGTTTCTAACAAGAACGCGCCCTTGCGAACATGAATGGGCACCAACTGGCACATCTCGTAGCTCTCTATATCATGCCCCTGGAATAGAGTGTGAATTACTTGTGGCGCACATGACATGCCATGTTCGCAGAGATGTGCCACAGGTCAAGGATGGAAAGGGTTCCATGACCTACATAACTTGAAAATCACGCTATTCTTGTCCAGCCTGGTGGATAGTCTGGGTCATATAATTGTCCCCCACTTTGCTTACTGTGGTAATTAGAAACATAAGGAGACTACCATGAGAGGATACAGACGTAGGCCACTAAGCAGATATATAAAATGACCAATGTGTCTAATTTCTTAACTGAGAAATGCTTTGTGTTTTTTAAGATGTCGTGTCTTACGTGTGTTAAGGAAGATGTATTTACAAAGCAAGCCGTAGCAGAAGAATTAGGTCATTTTGGTCACTTGATGTTTTTTAACGTGTGATGACATAAATATCCAGCAATTTACTTCCTCTGAAATGCAATTATTACCCCAACTTTCCGGACAGCAGGCGAGCAGTGTAATAATAATCTTTTGGTTTTACGTCGCAAACTACAAAATGATTATGATGGATGCTGTAGTTGAGGGCTGTAGTTGAGGGCTGTAGTTGAAGGCTGTCGTTGAGGCCCATCTGGTATTCTTGAACGTTCACTGAGATTACACAGTACATGCGCCTTCACCAAAAGGGACCTAACAAGTGTGTACCCAAGTGTGGCGGACCCAACCAGTGTAAGCACATACTAACATGGCATACGGCGCACAAGACGCATAAAAATTCAAACGACTGTGCTTGTCTTGGGAAATCAATTACATTACTAGTTAAAGTTGCGGCATTCATGAGATGTGCGGCCGATAAAGGTGGCGAACATTTTGACGTTGAGGCACAGCAGCTGAATTTTCGCTGCACCACATAGCCTTTGAGACAGGGCCGTTGAACTATCGCTGACACCAAGGCCATAGAGGACTATTAGGTAGATGCTGTGAAAGACTTTGTTCGGCAACAGTAATCGTGTGTTCGCCATAATTACATTCTTCGATCATATCCACTCGGAGGATTTGGCGAGTAATACTGAGCTCGTTTCCTTAAAAGGATTGATGCGGTCAGAGTGGGGAAACTAGTTCTCGTCGAACAAATTTTGGATGCAGGTGTCAGTACAAAAAATCACGGGCATTCGTATGCCATATACGTGGTTTATTGTTTTAAAAAGTTATGATTTAAACCTATTTTACATTTTACTTACGTTCTTTCTGTATATACATTTTATCCGTGTCTCTTCTCACAAAGCTTCCTTCGATGTCATCAGAAAATCTACAAAATAAATCATTGCAAACTGTAAGCGAAAGCTCCTTTGTGCACGAAGTGACCAAGGCCTCACGTTTGATCCTTGTAGATGTACTCTCTTTTAAACTGAATTGATTTCTTGCTCATGCTTTCCCTCAAGTCCACTTTGCATTCAACACGGGTAGTGCCGGTTGCATAGTATGTCCATATGGGTTCTCTCAACCCAACAAACTGAAAGAGAAACAATGAACAAGGAATGTTGTGTGACCACAATACAGTTAACTCCAATCTAATCTACGTGTAGTCTATTATAAAGGCACATATATTAGGCTCCTTCAAGTGACACGCAGCCAAGAGCTAGAGCGGTGATGCATCGCTGAAGACTTGGTGATGCTAAAAAAGCCTTCCTGTGTCAGGTAAACAACGCCATATTTCAAAGACGCACCTAGATCAAGAAACAGAGCTGCGAACCACTTGATATATCGCCGTCTCGTGTGCAACGTCATAGTGTGCAACAATTGCGAACTACGCCCACACTAGAAAAGACAAGTTAACTTTAAATTTAGGCAAGCTGCATTTTGCTCAGTTTTTGTGGTATCTTCGCGTATAAGATGACCAAGGCATTATATTTATTTGTGTGATTGGTGTTGTATCTACTGCAAGCAACCTGAAGGCAGTCTTGATTGCTCTCGCACTTGCACACGAAGTTATTTATTCTCGATTCAAGTCAACCCTGCGAACCTAGCAATTTCATCTAAATCGGTTGCTATCATTTCCACTTGTTCTGCTGACCCGTTCTCTTGTGAAGTATTACGCAATTGCCTTTTGGTTGCCATGCACTGTCATGGCCTCTGTATTGCCCTATTTATTTTTATGTTATCAGCTACGTCCCATTTTTTTCTTCTAGGCACGGGTTTCAGGGCCCATTCGTGTTTTCTCCCGTCATTTTGACGAATACGACTAATCTCTCTTGTCTGCCTTCATAATATGTCTGTTAGATGCAATATTATTGTGGACTAACGAACAAAACTGGCAAGAAAAGTGTAGGGGTTGTTATTCTTAAGTTATTGTTATTAAAATGCCAGGAAAATAGACTGTTCGAAAACGAAGCCTGCTGTAGAGAGGGACGAAACCGGCGACCTTCGAATTCGAAAGTCACAGGCTAGGTCCCTGCCCAAGGCAAGCTATCTTTTCGTCTTTTTTTCTTTTCTTCAGATTTACATTACATTTAGTAATATTATTATCCTCTACACCTTCTTTGACAGTGATGTCTTTTCATCATCATCATCAGCCTGACTACGTCCACAGCGGACAAAGGCCTCTCTAATGTTCCGCCAGTTAGCTCTGTTAGTTATTATCATTATTTTGTCTAACAATGAAGAACAAGCCTTCAAAATTATCACGTCTTTTCAATGTACTACACAGTACCCAGGTGTTCGTTACATATATATGACCCTGATATGTGGGGTTAAACGTCCCAAAACCACCATATGATTATGAGAGACGCCGTAGTGGAGGGCTCCGGAAGTTTGGACCACCTGGGGTTCTGTAACGTGCACCCAAATCTGAGCACACGGGCATAAAACATTTCTGCCTTCATCGGAAATGCAGCCGCCGCAGCCGGGATTCGATCCCGTGACCTGCGGGTCAGCAGCCGAGTACCTTAGCCACTAGACCACCGCGGCGGGGCATATATATGACCCTGTTTTCGGTATTGAGCGTAATTACTCTCTTATTGCACTACGATGTCTCCTCTTAAATAAGTTATCTGTAAAACACTTCTTACACAGTCAGACTTCCAAAGTCATGTGTCTGTTTTCTTGTACCTTGAACTCCTCAGTTTTACCATATTCTGAACCAAGCATTCGCTCCTGTTTTTTTTTTTTCGGACGCTCCACTCAATCTATCAACCGAAGCTTGAAATCATTAACTAACGGCCATAGTCGACTTTCATTCATCTTAACTGTAACGTTTAAAAACCCTTCAAATCTGCTCTGCAAGTGCCCTGAACTGCAAGTGCGGCAATGTAGTTTAAGGTATTCACGGTTTACACAAGGAGAACTTCTCAACTCGAATGTGTGAGCCATATGCACAACGAACAATGTAAAATTTTGTGCGGCACTTGAAATAAGTAATAAATGCAAAAACTTATCTTTTTCCTCTCCTTGGCATGGCATCTGTTGTGCGAAAACCTTCACAATGCATATTCGCGCATTGCAAACGGTGCAAAATGGTTTTGTCCAAGACTGAAGTTGGAATGCAATATTTCCTACGCCACGCTGCGGTACAAAGTCTATTTTTATTAGTTTTACATAGAGCGCTCTCCTTCCTGCTTTTCTTTTCTTTGCTAACATTTCAAAGGTCTAGTTGGGGCACAGCTGGCAGCGACCTCCACTCACTTTTTTTAAGAACATTCTGTACTGTTCACACTTTTGTTATGCCACGCATGCTATTCGAAAGCTTCCAGATTGAAAGTAATGATTTTATCCTCCTGAACACCATACGCAGATTCAAATTACAGGTGGTATATGTATTAAAAATTTCTCCCATTTAATGTGGTTTTCAGAACACAAAAAACTACTTAAATATGCACTTCATTGATGTGTGAATAAAAGTCAAAGAAGGAACGCTGTCTTGAAGCTGCTTTGTCAAATAATCCCTAAAGCAACACGTTGGGGCGAATACTTCTAAAATAGGCATTTCCCACTACGAGATATTGCATAAAGCTACATTATGAGTTTCAACAAACAGCAGCTATATTAGTGATCAGCCCCTGTCTAAGTAAAAATTGAGCGTGCCACCCAGATGGTGATCTTCAATTTCGATAAGTTTTCTCGGAAAATAATAAACTTGTGAAAGATTGGAAGGGCAGAACTGTAATGAGGAGTTTCACTAGAAAATAAAGCTGAACACCTTTTTGCGTTTAAAGCTTTGAAAGTTGTATTGAGCTCCCGAAGAATTTTTAAGATAGTGGCGAAAAATGTTATTCATCAGATTTATTTGTATGCTCAGCACTAGAAGTAGAAATAAACGGTAAGCTACAGTAAGTTGCTGGAACATCCACGTTTACTACTGCGTGCGATATGCACACCGCTGCATGCAAAATACCTTAGACGCAGCGGACGTGCTCGTGCAAGATTAACAAGTGTTACATTGGTTGCACGGAATAACATGGGTTATGAGCTTATCCCAGAATGTAGTCCAATGGAAGAAATTATGCACGAACAGTACCAATGGCAACAGACCCACTAGTCTGCGTCCAATATTGCAGTCCTTTATCTATCTATAATCCGGTAATCTCGTTGTGGGGTTTGAAGAATTCATCTCTCACGTTAAAACCAGTATATATCAAAAGAATCAACAATATTCAACTGAAAAAAAGTACATGTCATCAGTAAAGACGTGTAGGCATGTTGATTTCAATATAACTATTTAGGCAAGTATGCAAGTACAAAGGAATTAAGGGAAATTTAGGAAGAAAAAACACTTACCCTCCTGATATCCGGTGTCTGAATTTCGATTTTCTCAAGCTGCTTCCTTATTGTTTCCGGAATCTTGACTTTTACGGCCTCCTTTTTTGAAGGCGTCGGAACTTTCACTTCGGTTTCATTTTTTGCTGGCGTCAAATTGTCTATTTTTGGTAGCTCATAAATTGTTGGCGTAAAATTTTTGTGCTTTTTTACCTCGCTTTCTTCGGAACTTAAGATACCTGTCATGGCGAAAAATACAGCAGCTGTGAAACATTGTGTACAATACATGTTACTACAATATCGTCTATCAATTGAAGTGTAAACGCAAACACAAGCGGTATGGCTTAGTATAACCGACTATATTGCCACTAAAGCAGTTGTATATGTCTCTTACACTCGCAATATTGCGAATGTGCTGCGTATCATTGTTTCAAAACTTGCGTTGCACTGATTTTGTACTATTTTGCTGAATACAACTTTTCCTGATAACACAAGTGCGTCCCTGTACGGCATAAATCAAAAGAATAGAAGAATCGTTCGCTTAGTGGACTCAATAGGTACAAAAGGAAGACCCTCATCCTATTATACCGGCTTTAATTGTGCTGCAACGCAGTAAATGAAGCGCCTATGTGATATCCCCCTTCCTTTATTTAGATAGTATTCGCTGAATGAATAAATCGTGCTAAGCCAAAAAACATTATATATTTTGGGTAATTTACAAGCACCATGTTATCAAAAAGACAAACCGTATTACCACGCTGACTTCAAATGGCAAAATAGAGAACCAATCACCCTGCTCCGTCTTGAAAGTGTTTGTTTTTGTCACCGTATATACAGGTCTGTATTGAGCTATCATGTTTATCAGAAACTATGACCTCCATCTATAACACGCAAGAGAAAAAAATGTGCAGAATAAAATAACACACACACACACACACATATATATATATATATATCTATATATATATATATCTATATATATATGTATATATATATATATATATATATTGTAATGACGAAAACCGAAACTGGAACTCTCTCTGGCACAGACTCGCATGCTAGGAGGACGAAGACGAAGCAGAATAAGAACAGCCGGCCTGCAGCAAAGGCGTTGTGTCTTATTTCTCTCGTCGTTACAATGGCGCAGTCGACAGGATTCGAACCTGTGCGGGGAAACCCCAATGGATTTCTCTCGTCGTTACAATATATATATATATATATATATATATATGGATGGGAGGTCTCTGAGACGTGTTTCTGGTGGACGACATTGGCTGTGTCATAGTGGTCGAAGTTCCCTGCACTGACGAGCTTTATGTATATATATATATATATATATATATATATATATATATATATATGGGACGAAAGAAGGTAGCGACAGTTGGTAGAAGCAGAGGAGGAAGAAGTCAGAGTAGAATAAACGGGGTTATGAGCCAGGCCACGTCACTCGTTCATCGTAGCGTCACACGAGTCGACAGGATGGAGACCTGCCTGCCCCTTCATCAGTCTCTCATCATCGATGCAGTTCCACAGAAGACACCCTGGCCATACATTGACTACCGAATTATCGCCTAGAAGGACAACGACCAGCACCATGACAGAACCATCGGCTGACCTCGACATCCCCAAGTACACCGGATCAGTTGACGACGGACCCGTGCAGGACTGGTTCAACCTATTCGAGGTTCACGCCGCCGCTGCATCCTGGTCGGAACGGGAGATGATCACGAACTTCACTGACTACATCTCCTGTGAGGCATTTAAGTTTTACCTCATGCGCATCTTTGAAAACGACGAGTTTTGGCAAAAGATCAAAGATGAGAAGATTACCGTTTTTAATGACTATGGCCAAGACCTACTCATTTCCAACCATCTAGAGACAACCGCACACTATCGTCAATTTCCTAAGCAGTCGTCAACCATTCTAAAGCCCAGCGCGAATCGGCAACTGCCTCAAGACGAAGTGGCACATAAGTTTACTTACAGAAGGCCATACGTATATTGGGAAAAACCCAACCGTCAAGCGAAGCTTTCTTGTGCACGAAAGTTGGCATTTTCAAAGTCGTGGCACCAACATACGACACGAAACGTCACTCACCCTACTGATGCCTTTCATGCTTCGTCTCGCATACATGGTCCACCACCTAATTTTCTACGACGCAGCTCTTCAAAGGCTCCTAACGGTCACTATTCGTGTCATAAGGATGCCTTGTTCATGGTAGACCAGCTGACACATGGGGAAAAATACCAAACAACAACAAGATGACTAAAAGAGTGAAAATCAGTCTCCACGCATTGGAGCAGCTTACTCCCCGTCTCGCAGACTTGGCCTGCATCCTTGTTTTACATCACTTCGCTCTTTCATCGCTCATAACGCGCACCTCACGCCTCACTCGCCCACTACGGTTGGGATAGAGCTGCGGAACTCCGAATATACTCAGCCAAGCCTAGGGCCAACCGTCCTCATTCATGCATCAGAACAGCTTATTTTCCAAGGTGCGGGCACAGAGAAACAGCCCCAAGTAAAATCTTACCAAACCAATGCTCTCGCAGTGTTGCCGTCGAGTTCCCAGCCACCTGAGAGCCCAATCAACACAGAAGGCTCGGAAGGATCAACTTTCAAGCACTTTCTTGTGCCAGGAACGTCCATTAAGAATGTCGTTGCAAGAGCCTCAGCAGATTTTTTTGTCGATTCTGGCACACTATCTCCATTGCCTGACACGAATCGCGACACCCTAACAAGTATCGACTATTTACTGATCAAATCATCCTGCAAAGAAAAGCATACAAATGTTCATGAAAGATGCCCATCTGACCAACTTTCGCAAAAAGACGAGCAATTTCAGCAAAGACAACTCCACAAACTCCAGGAACTACAACGGACACACCAACAAGGACGACGACGCAAAGCAAGCGTCTTAAAACAAATTCAAGAAGCTAGGCATCTTCGCATAAGGGATCAACGCCAGAAACGCATTTGGCACAAAAGATTAAGACTGCCCCTAAGATTTCAGCTCCGAAACCTCAGGAAACACCGAACAAGACAAGAGTCACCAGTTCCACCACGCAAGGATTCAGACACCATCCCATTAGTTTATGACGACGAGCACGCACGCAGAAAAGACGGCGACGCCGAAGACCGATCTACTGCCACGCTTTCAAACAGCGTCCACCCTTCGCAGTAATGCCAGCTATTTCGTCAGTCTCCACGTCCAGGGCATTCTTGTGTTATCCAGGACGCAACCATCAGCCTTGCCCGCAAGATCTTCTATTGATATCACCGGACTGCCACACTCTCCTCTCAAGTCTTAGCGACGAAGAAGAGAACACGTGCACTTAAAAATTTGTGAGACTACCTCTTTATTTTTACATTGGTGACTTCCAAGTCACTCCTTGTTTACTTTTTCTTGTTTGTAAGTTGTAACTCATGCCTTCTTTCGGGGGAGGGGGAATCATGTGACGTAAGAAGGTAGCGATGGCCGGTAGAAGCAGAGGAGGAAGAAGTCAGAGTAGAATAAACGGGGGTATGAGCCAGGCCACGTCACCCGTTCATCATAGCGTCACACACACACACACACACACACATATATATATATATATATATATATATATATATATATATATTGTCGCGGTACAACGCGAATAAAACACCAGGGGCGGCCATATAAATACGGACGAAATTTCGTAACCGCCCATACCACGGCGAGACATTCCTTCTCAGTCGTGGAGTAATTAGCCTCAGCACGTGTTAAAGTTCTGCTTGCGTAAGCGATTACCCTTTCTGCGCCATCTTGCTGCTGCACAAGCACAGCTCCCAGATCAACATTGCTAGCATCGGTGTGAAGCATCGTAGGGGCTCTCTCGTCGAAGTGGGCAAGGACTGGGGGTGTTTGTAGTCGCTGGCGAAGATCGTTAAAAGCAGCTTCCTCTTCGTTATTCCACTCAAAGGTGACGTCTTCTCTTGTTAGGCGAGTTAGTGGTGATGCTATGCGTGTGAAGTCCGCGATAAATCGTCGATAATACGCGCAGAGGCCGAGAAAGCGTCTGACAGCCTTTTTATCGGTCGGCATAGGGAACTGTTCTACGGCTGCGATTGTTTCAGGATCGGGACGAATACCAGCATGACTGACGACATGACCAAGAAATCGCAGCTCTTCGTAGCAAAAGTGGCACTTCTCAGGCTTCAACGTCAGGCCCGCGGACTGTATGGCTCGTAAGACTACCTCAAGTCTTTCAAGGTGCTCGTCAAACGTCGCGGAAAACACTATGACGTCGTCCAGATATACTAAGCATGTTTTCCACTTCAACCCAGAAAGCACGGTATCCATGAGTCTTTGAAAGGTAGCAGGGGCTGAGCACAAACCGAATGGCAAGACCTTAAATTCATATAACCCATCTGGTGTCACAAAAGCGGTCTTCTCGCGGTCTCTCGGGTCCACCTCGATTTGCCAATATCCACTCCGCAAGTCCATTGAAGAGAAGTATCGAGCATGTCGAAGTCTGTCGAGAGAGTCGTCTATACGCGGTAGTGGATATAGGTCTTTTTTGGTCACCTGATTTAGCATCCAGTAATCCACACAGAAGCGCAGGCTGCCGTCCTTTTTCTTAACGAGGACTACAGGCGACGCCCAGGGGCTCTGTGAAGGCTGAATGACGTCATCTTCAAGCATTCTGTCTACCTGCTGTTGTATCGCTTCACGTTCTTTTGGAGCCACGCGATAAGGGTTCTGGTGAATAGGTCTCGCCGTTTCTTCGGTAATTGTTCGATGCCTGGTTAGAGGCGTGCGGCCAACTCTTGATGTTGTCGAAAAGCAGTCTTGAAATTTGGCCAGTAACTCATGGAGTCTGCGTCGGTCGTCTTTTGGCAAAGTAATGCTAACGTCTAGAACAGGCGCTGAATCAAGATTTAGCGACTCGTCGACTACCGCCAAGCAGCCTTCGGCGTCTATGACATCGTCGAAGTAAGCGACAGCCGTGCCTTTAGGAAGATGCCGGCGCTCAGCACTAAAATTGGTCAGCAGGAAGTCCGTGCGTCCAGCAGCAACTCTGACGATACCTCGTGCGACAGAAATACCGTGGGTGAAGAGCAGCGAGCTAATTCGGTCCGCAACTCGTTCGGCGTCAAACTGAGCAGCGGCGGCCACAGAAACAAGCGTGCATGACCTCGGAGGGAGAACCACATCGTCATCAGTAAGACGCAGTTGGTTTGGTCGCGCCTCTTGGGAATCGGGTAAGCCCGAACTGTTGCAAAACGTAATCAAGCCCTCTGGTATGTTGATGACGGCACCATATTCCCGTAAAAAGTCCATGCCGAGAATTACGTCTCTGCAGCATGCGGCGATAACGACGAACGACGCAGTGAAAGGAGAACCTCCGATGTCAATTCTTGCGGTAC